ACTTTTAACATTGAATGTTATCTAAGAAATCCATCCACTAATGTAGATTAAAAAAAAGAAATGTGCTTTGGATAGATCTGGTCAGTTAGCATTGCTAAGTAGACCAGACTCCAAAAAGCAATATTTGGAGAGTTTTATCATTGTAGTTTTCATATAGTACATGTTGTTATGAAACCAAGGTTATGTGGTTATTTCCAACTGTAAAACAGCTGTGGCATGAGGTCTTTGTTATTTATCAGTTCTCTCACAAATCTCCAGGGAAGAAAGTTGGAAGAAAGTTAATGTTCTTAAATGCTTGTCCATGAGTGCAATCTTACAAATCACAACACACCAGAGCTCATATACGATGGCTATATATTAATGAAAGGAGTAAAATTGATTGAAAAAATATATAATATTCATATTTAACATGTTTTGAAACACATATTTTAAACATAATATTTAACATATTTAATCTTCAGGACAAATTACATTTTGATAACCCTTAAACTTAAGTGCTTATTATCAAATACTGCTATGTAAAGGTCAAGGAACTGTAACCATATTTTCTCATAATGATGATGATGATGACAGTACATTCAATAACATTGAAGAAAAGAGAACTTCTGATTAAAATAGAAAGGGAACTTCTACTTGGAAACAAAAATCTGACTAATATTTTTGCATTTTAAGCTATTGCAATAATAACAAAAGAGAGAAAATCTTCCGATAACTTATTTTAAGTTAAAATACTTTTCTATTTAGCCCCACCTTTATCCTTTAACTTTATGAGCATAATTAAATCCAACCAAAACCACTGCCATCGAGTCTATTCTGACTCCTAGCGGCCCCCCAGGGTTTCCGAAGCTGTAAATCTCTACGGAAGCAGACTGCCGCATCTTTCTCCCACGGAGCTGCTGGTGGTTTTGAACCACCAACCTTTCAATTAGTAGTTAATTGTTTTAACCACTGTACCACCAAGGCTCTTTTCTAATTGCTTATATGCATTACTCTGATAAGAACTTTAAGAACTTTATTCCAGTTGCCTCTGGATGTTTTCCAGTACATTTTCAAGTTCTTAAAATATTTCTTATACAAACCACCAACACAAAATCTTGATCTTCTTGTGTGTGACTAAGCTTACAAAGACAAGAAAGCCAACATCTTGAGAACTTGAATGGAGAGATCTCCTGGCTGGTATTTTTTGGTAATCTCATGGAAGCTAAGTGCTGGAAAGGATGCTCAGCTCATCTTGGCAGCATGTCAGGAAGCACCCACAACTTAGAGCTTAAGCGCATGTTGGGTATCAGGTGCTCTCTCAGGGCTGCTGATATGGCTTGGGGATATATTAATCGTCTAAAGCAGAGCTACTCAAGTGTAGCTCTAGCATCAGCAGTTGGAAATGGAAATTCATGAGCCTCGCCTACTGAATCAGACTCTCTGAGGTGGGTATCAGGAATCTGGTTTAATCAGGTGATTCTTAGTCTCACTCCAGTGTGAGAACCTCTGGTCTAAAGGACCCCTGCGTGCTGGGTTATAGGACTTACCGTGGACAAATGTGGGAAGGAAATTAAGTTTGTTTATCGATACCAGAAGAATGGGAGCCACAGCCCAGACCTACAAAATCAGAATCTGCATTTAGGAAGATTCTACCCCCTCCCCCCCCAGGAATTCCTGTCCCATTCAAGTTAGAGATAACACGTATCTCTGGTCTCACAGAGGGTACTCCTATGGCAATCAGACAATCAGAGTCCTCCCTGGGCCTGGCCTCTCAAGTAAAATCTGCATTTGCCAAACAATTTGCTTCAGCTAGGTGTCAGGAAGAAAAAAAGCAATTTTTATAAGCTAATGAGCTTCAGCATACAGCCACTGAGAAAGCTCAAGTGTGTTACTGATTCCTGTAGTGTCACCATTAAAAGGAAAATATTTCTGGAGATGACTGTATTTGAAGACAGAGAATTAATCTCCAATGATGGGATTCTAGGCACTGTTAGAAACAGGTAGAGAAAACAAAGGTTTTGTAGGGGCAGGAGTTTGGGGCATGAAGTAGACTGTGCTTGTCGCAGTTTTCCACCTGGATTCCTTTATATTTAACAAGAAATAATTGGACAAAGAACTCACCTACAAGTGGGAGTCTAATCACTTTGACCTATCACCTAGATTAGATTCATTATATGATAACTCCAGACCTGTGTGAGCCTGTGTTCTAGGCCAGTAACACTTCAGTGACTATAGGAGCCCAAGAATTCACTTAAGTTTGAGTATAAACTTGTGGATAGGGGTGATTTTGGAGGTCCTGTATACACCAGTGGAGTCCCTGGGTGATGCAAACGGCTGCTAACTGAAAGTTTGGCTGTTCAAGTCCACTCAGAAGCAACCCAGAAGAAAGTCCTGGTGATATAGTTCCAAAAAAACGGCCACTGAAAACCCCATGGAGCCAAAAAATCAGCCACTGAAAACTCTATGGAGCATAGTTCTACTCTGACACACATGGGGTCACCATGAGTTGGAATCGATTTGATGGCATTTAGTTACTAATTTTATGTACCAGTACATTACAGCATGTTGAAAAGTCTTGGAATCGCAGACCACTTCCACCTCCATCCACCCCACTCCCTCCAGTAAATCTGGAAATCTAGGTCTCCAAATATAATAATCTGGAGATGGTGATCCTGGAAAAAAACAAAAACCCATTGACGTCGAGTTGATTCCAACTCATAGAGATGTATAGGCAGAATAGAACTGCTCCATAGAGGTTCCAAGGCTGTAAATCTTTATGGAAGCAGATTGCCCCATCTTTCTCCCGTGGAGCAGCTGGTGGGTTCGAACCATCGACCTTTCAGTTAACAGCTGAGCATTTAACCATTGTGTCACCAGGGGGATGCTGACAGGGGGACATAAAAGGTTTTATAAAAGCTTTCTAGGCAATTCTGATAAAAATGCTCAACTTCCTCAACTGATAATCACTGATCTATTATTGTCCATGAATTTTTCCTACATAATTCAATGATGACTATACTGTTATTACTTGAAATGACAGATCACAAAAGCACACTTTCTTTTATATAAGTGAAAAGTTATTTTGTATCTCAATTAGATCCTTGCACCATTTGCTATATACAAGTTCTGAATCAAAAGATAAGTCCAAACATGCAAAATCAATAGCTTTTTTAATTTTTAAAATCTCTTAGACTTTGCTGGCAACTCTTTTAACATTGCAGCATTTAAAACGGAACACAAATTCAGGAGACCTACATTTATTTAACACTTTTTTATCAATATTTACTTAACACCAACAATACATAAATACTACAGCAAACAGCCTTTGTCCAACCACACAGACAATGCTGCCGGGGTTTGGGCAAGCATTTATTTCACTTAAAATTTACATTAAGCTGAATATCTGACCCTGTACTTCGCCAGGAGCCCTGGTGGTCTACACATAACCCTTTCACGACCCTCCTTAAGGAAATTACACAGTGTAAAACCTACAATATGCAATATATCCCACAATCCCCAAGTACCTAAGAACTTCAACCATCCAGACCAAATTACAACTGCCTTTCTCTCCTTCTCCATAGTGTGTGAAATATTATCTCCTTTGTTGTTTCTGAGCACACTCTTTTACTACAATCATTATAAAATCTTAAATTCTGAAATGTCATTTCTAAAATGAGTATAAAATAGTTTGAAATGATTACTAAGCATCTTTTCTATAATGATTTTAGAACTTTTTCCTGTACTCACTTTTTTTTTTATTTTTCTGGTATACATATCCTCATACTAAAGTAACTGATTATCTTAATCTTTCCATAATTATTCCACTCTTTTTTAGTTCAGTTTATAGGAAAAGTAGTTAATACATATGACAGACTTCCCTCAGGGAATCTGCATCTCAGCACACTAGACACTAAAGGAGAAGTAGCGCAGCTTAGGTAGAGTAGGTCCTGAAATTACAGAAATAGTCTAAGTCCACCATACAGCAAGTGTATGATCATGGCCAGTCATTCTGCCCCCTTGCTCCCCAGGTTAACTGAAGACCATCTTTGCATCCTATCTCTTTGGGGATATTAGAGGAAGAGATTACATGTAAAGCATTGTGAAATCCTCACAGGAAAGGTACTGAATTTTTTTAAATAACAGATTTTATTTGTTTTATCATTCATTAGAGCAAATGTCACTTACTACCAACCTGCACTACTTAAAACCTATCATTCTGGTTAAAATTCTAAATGAGTTCACCTTTCTAGTATCTGTTTCAAGAACAGGTACAGAGAGCTTGCTGAAGCGGTTTCATTTAGTGACACACTGACATCTAGTGGAGATTTATGGTGTGCTGTGGGAAACCGTATACCCAAGAATAGCTCCACGGTTCTGGTGTGGGCAGAGAGAAGAAAAAGCACCTTTTGGTCTTTATGCAAAGCATCAAGAAAATATATAAACTGATTAAAAACAAAGATACACTTCCTGTATATTTAAGTTTTGCTTGTCCAAACACTGGCCAATTTACAAGACATATAATCAAAAGTTACTGGATAGTGGCGGTGGGAATGGCAAAGTTGTTTAGTTTTGTAAAAAAATCCCAAAACTCTCCTTCAAATTCAGAATTAAAAGTTCAAATATGTAACTACGGACTGACCTACTCTTTCCTTTAACAGTGAATGGGGACAGGGAAGGGGAGGGGAAGTAAGGAGAGGAAAGGAGAAGAAAACAAGACTTCCAGGTTTTCCACTACATCCCACTAAATTTCTGGACTTCTTTGAGGTTAGAATTATATTAATTCTAGAGGGACATTTCCTTTGCAAATGTATGCGGAAACTTTCTGGCATGTCACTAAGCATTTATCTAAATCTGCTCATTTAATACACTGCTTTTACCTTGAAATAAAAATATAAAACATTTCTATTACCCTGAGCTTTCTCAAATGCCTAGCTGTGTCTCTAAAAGTGTGGCTTCTGTGTTTCCTCTGGTGCTCCCTCCAAAGGCTACAAGAAATAAACGTTGATGGTCCCAGGAGAAAATCGATTTAACACCTGCACATTTTATTACACAATTATTTAAATTAGATAGGGTTAACAAATATTCATGGGAAGATTGTCACAATCACATTATATCTGCTAGAGTACACATGAAATTTAAAACTGTTTCCCTCTTTACCCCCCTTAGTGAGACTGGGAAAGACTCAGAGTGCAGATGATTACTTGATCTACCCCAGCCTACTTCCTTGTTCTCTACCAAGCTTCAACCACTAGATGGAACTTCTTTACACCCTTGTTTAATAGCTTCGTTATTCCAGTGAACAGGCAAGGTTGAAGAGGAGGAATTCTGGAAGCTGGAAGAGAGAATTTTTTTTATACACTGCTGTGTGCTTAGCATCTGGTTCTGGTAGACCCTTCCACCACACCTCTTCTGGAAAAAAAGACAAAAAAAAGAAGAAAAGTGAAAACATCTTACTGTTGGTCTGCAGGCAACATGGCACTAAAAGAAACCCTCAAAGACCAGGAAATGTGTAATTTTCTCTTGAGAAGAATGTGCATGCTTTCTTCCTGCCACACCCAGAGTGCTTTTAAATTCTTTAACTTCGTCACTCTTTCATTTATGTCTGGGAATCAGAAGAATCGTCTAGAAATGATTTGACCAGACCAGCTCTCATGTGTAAAATCCTAGAAGAATCTTAAGGCAGCCACATAGCCTAATCATAACCAAATAGCCTTAACTACATGTGTATCCATGGTTGGTGGTGTTAAATTTAAAGGAAGAAATATACTCACTTATGTCCTTCTCTGTAATTAACAGTAAACTTCAATCTTCAGAGCCCAGAGACAAAAACAAACAAAAAACAACAAAAAAAGATGTGACACAACCTATTAGCGCAAGCAGAAACAATGTTCTAATAGTGAAGCTTCACGCTGCACTGAAACGTATAATTATCCATACATCTTCAATCATTGTATTTTACTGCTTTAAAAAAAATCCTTCCAGATACTTTACACTGTCCATTGTTTTCCCACTAGTTTTTTTTCTTCACTATAATATTTATGCAGTTTGTTCATTGTTTTAAATCCAATTATATAATTGAGAAAATGCAGGCTCATCAAAGTAAAAAAAAAAAATTCCTAGTTACAGAATTAGATAGTAAATAAAAGACATTTGAAAGCTTGGTTCCTTTATTATAGGCTGATGATTAAATTAATTAAACTATTTTGGCTCTAGTGTTTAATATCCTAAAGACTCAGAAATATCAGTTATTACTGGAGTGTCTTACAGAGAAACTATCGTGATAAATCAGTGACCCTTAATTGCTCTAAGTAATAATACAATAAAAATTTAAGTTGTGATCTCCATATTCATTTCTTTCAAAAGAAAGTGTCAAAATATGTAAGACTGCAACTCTTGGTAGTTTTCATGCATGTGTAATATATATCACAACATATATGGATGACACATTCTGTTTTGGAGTTGGTGATTTTTAAAGATTCTTGGACAGGACCTTGACTTTGGAGCTAAGGCTACTATCCTCACTGTGCCAAATAAGCGGATTCCAGTGATTTTCAGAAAAGCCAAGAGTCGTTTTTGGGGGTGTATGTCTGTGTGTATCCTTTCAAATTGCTCTTCCGGTTCCATCCTCGCAGGGTATGCTGCTCTGTAGTAGACAAGAACTGAGTCTTCCAGACAAGTTCAAGGTTGCAGATGCTAAAGAAGAAGCAGCTATTAAAAGTTCAGTACATGACAGGGAACATCTAGCTCAATTGGCATAACAGTTTATAAAGGCAATGTTCTACATTCTACCTTGGTGAGTAGTGTCTGGGGTCTTAAAAGCCTGTG